TATATTTATATATTATATATTATATTTATATTACATATATATTATATTTATATATATATATATTATATTTACATTTATATATATATATATATATATATGAAGAGTTTGAAGAATCAATTCTAGAGACTAAACAAACAGAAAAGTTGATATATAAAAATTTTCAAGGCTTATTTATTAACTTATAAATATAATTGAAGTTTGAATTAGATGAAATGAGATAGAAAGAGCATGACATTCTTTTTGTCTCCGTTATATCGCTATCGCATTCTATTTTTATCTCGCTTCATCTAATGCAAAATTAAATTGCTTATAATTTAATAAATAAGTCTCAATAAATATTTTTATATAACCAACGTTTATATTTATTTTTATCTCTAAAATGCTTCAAAGATGTTTTATATATTAATCTTATTATATATTGTAATATATTATATACATGACGAAAATTAAATTTGAATCTATTGAATCTATTGATCTTATGACTTATTGTAGCATCATATTCTAATATATATTCCAAAAGTTAATCAAAATTTTCATATCAAGTAAAGATTCTTTTAGATCTGTTAAGATTCTTGAAATTAGCTAATTCGATATTTATTTTAATTATTATAAAAATTTTATTTCCAAAGCTATAGTGCATTTTTATGATTCTTTAAATGTATGATTTCAATTCTTCAATCAATGTAATACTGATTCTATCAATCCTTAGAAAAAATAGATTTTCTGCAATTTTTATTACTTTGTCCTTCCTAATTTTACGAATATTTTATTTCTATGAAAATCAGTCTGTATCATTTTTCAATTTTAAAAACAACTGTATATGTAAATATATGTATATTGTCAGATAAATAAATAGAGATAAGAAAAAAAAAGAAATAAATTCTCTTTGTTTACATACCACAAAAATATCGAATGCCTAATGCAAATTTTTATCTTCATAAATACAAAATTATTATTGTAGGATAATTGTAGTTAAGTAATAAATAATAATTTTTATTTGAGATATTGTCTAGATAGAAAAATGTTTGAATTTTTGCAGATAGATTGGTTTATTAATTAAAATAAAATTTTTCATATCATACAGGTACTTTATGCAATGAGAATAAGGATATATTACCTATGAATTGTGTTTTTAAATTGTATCAACAAATTGGATATCCACCTTCTGCAAGAGATTTACTTCAATCAACATGCATCTTGAGTAAGCTAATAATTGATTTACAATATGAATTTTTTGTTTGCGTATGATATAAAACATATATATGATAACATATATAATGTTAATATATTTGGAGAATTGATTCTAGATAAGTTGATACAAAGATATAGAAATCTCAATTAAGACTTATTTATTAAATTGTAAATAATTTAATTTCGTATTAGGTAAAGTGAAAAGGAAATAGAGTATAACAGAAATTTCACTCTCTATTCTTTTTCCAACGCAAATTTATAACTTATAATATATAATAAATAATTTTCAAGCAATTTTTTATATTTATTTTATTCTCTAGAATCAATCCTTTAAAGATAATATAAAAATATATAAATACATATAAAATATTACTATAATATATACATATGTCAAATAATTATCAAATATTTATACATTTCGAATTGCAAAAATAAATAAATATTAATAATAATAAAATATTTTTATTTTTATAATATTATTATAAAAAATATTATCTTCATTTTAATTTCTTATATTTTTATAATTAATTTTATAACAATTAATTCTAAATTTTTATATATTTATTATATGATGAATGTATAAAAAATTTTTAAAATATACAAAAAAATACATAAATAACTAAAAAAAATATTGCTGCATGCTAAGACAATAAAACTTTAATATAATATGAAAAAAATATTAATAAGTAAACATATATATCTATATTATTTCAGCAATTTTCGTATCATAACATGCGATTAAATATTTTGGGAATATTTCTTGCAGATTAAAAATTAAAATAAAATAATATATTAAACTTAAAAAACTTAAAATTTGTTTAATTACTTTATGGTTTTAAATGTATACCAAAAAATAATTTAAACAAAATATACAAGTTTAAAGTATTTTATTAATAGTGAACAATAATGTGTTTGTACATTTCACAGTATGTATGCATGCAGAATCTGCTTAAAATCTAATTTTTATAATAATGATATTTTTACATTAAAATATATAAATATTAATAATATAGATGCAAAAGATTCACGATTGTTTGCCACGACCACTGAAACTATGAAAATATTTCCGGAGGGAATTAATTCTGTGACAATAGGTGAAAAAATTAGTTATTTACTAAAACTTAATGAAATGTTTACATTACATAATTATACAACTGATATATCAAAGAAAAATGAAAATAATCTAAGTATGTATAGCATTCATCTAATTATATAGCACACTCTATAAAATCATTATTTTTTAATTTATTTAAATTAAAAATATAATTTATATTACAGTTAACAAATTGTTGATCTTTAGTCAGCTAGGAGCTATAAAAATGGTAGAAGTCATGACACTAATATGTCCTGGAATAAAAGATACAAATACTGGCATAATTATAAATATGGATTATAAGGTATATGATCTTAAAATTTAAATTTTGATGTAAATATAAATAAAATTCGGTAAATATAATTTAACTAAACAATTGAAAAAATGGATTATTTGATTGTACTTGCTTTGATATTTTTAATTTTCGATATTATAATGTTTAAAATATATTTTATATTATCATGTTTCTAAGATTTTATATTATAATTTATTAATTTCTTAAAGTAAACGCAATAGATTATGATAAAGTGTGCTATATTAAAAAAAGTGAAAAATAATTATTTGATATTCATAAGTATTTTCAATTTTATATGATTGTATAATCAAATAAAATTACATAATATCAATAATAACATTAAATGTTATTTGATATTATTTTTTTATTGAACAATTATTCTTATAATTGTTATATATTACTATTATGCAATTTTTATTTTATATAATAAATGTTAGAAGAATTACGAAAATGAAATTGAAATTGAATAAACAAAATAAGTAAATAATATAAAATGAAGATTATGTGAAATTGAATTTTATCGAAATATCAATTTCAATTATAAAATTATTATTACTTATATCGAAAATAAAATATTATAAATAGCATAGATTGTAAAATGTATTTATTATATCGATTTTTTATTTATTCATAAACCAATATTGAATACCATATATAATTTAATACTTTAATCAATTATTTACAGATATTACAAAAATTGCATTTCTCCTAACTTAATTATCTTTTGCTTAAATGTGTAATATATTTTACAGACACATCGTATACGGTATTATGCATATTTTACAATATAGAAATTGAATGTTACAGCTGACATTTCTTGAATTTTATGAAATAATACTAGAGGCAACGAAGGAATTATTCTTTTTAAAAAATAAATCTGAAAAATTATTACAAACGAAAATTGAGAAGGAAATCAAGTCAGTAGAAATCAATAATTTATAAAAAGAAAAAAGCTCTTGAATTAATGAACTTTTTTGATTCAAAATCATTTTCCGAATTTAAAAATAAATTAATTTAATATAATTTGTTAAAATAATAATAAAATCTAATATAAACTTTTTTGATTCAAAATCATTTTCCGAATTTAAAAATAAATTAATTTAATATAATTTATTAAAATAATAATAAAATCTAATTTTATTTCATTTACGTGAAAATTTTATTTCTCATATTACTATTTCTAGTTTATTTCACTTTAAACATTTAGGATAATATTAAATAAAATTAAGCAGTTTTTACTGCAGTTTATTTTTAAAAATATACTTAATTTAAAAATATACGCAAAATTGTAATTAAATCAATTTAAAACAAATAAGAAAATATCCATTGAAGTAAACTAGAATTGCATTGGCACATTGATATATTAAAGAACAAAAATGAAAATAAAAAATAAAAACATAACTTTCTAAAGAAAATTAATAAAATAACTTATAAATGATATTAATAAAAAACGACTCATTACTGCCAATGTTCCTCCAGTTCGAACAATATAAACTAAAATTTGTCATTTAATGACGATATAAATGAAAAATATATATATTTTTTTTTGAACGTTCTATATGTATCACATACATCTATATAATTAAAAATTATAAAATTCTTAATGAATAAATAAATTGCCTTTATAAGGCTATTTTTTTAATTTAAGAAATCATAAAATTTTTGGCAGCATAGTATTCAATGTTTGCCGCTAATAAATAATCTGTAGTAAAATATTTAAAACTTATGAAAAAAAGAAAATGAAAAAAAAATAATAACAATTAAATCAATTTATATGATTTTTACATTAGTACGATATTTTTATAATAATTTTCGATATCTGGAAAAACAAAAGAAGCTTAAATAATAAAAATAATTAAATGACAAACTATTCAATGCATCCAACCGTAAAAGAATTTGATATACAAATACAAGTTTTGCATATACAAATACGTTGGACTTTTTGGACAGGTACAGATAGAAACTTCATTCATGAAACATCATAAAATTGAAAAGAACGTGGCAGTTGGCTCTCCTTGCAGCCACGGATGGAACGATTCAGTCTTGAGCGAGCAATAACAAAATTGTCAGTGTCATCGGAACAAGCGAATCCATTACGCATTTTCACATAATGATGCAGTGGAACTTAATTGATTTTTATGCATAAAATACTATGCTAAATATGTTTTCATAAAAGTCCCAGGGCTCAGGAAGTCAGAGGAACGATAGTGTGCGACTAAGTCGCTTATAGTAGTGTTTTTACTTAAAATGCAATGTATACGCGTTACTTCTAATCCATTATATTATTTTTTGATGTCTTCCTTTTTTATATTTATTCTAGAGATATTGAATACACATTAATATTTGATTAAATATAAAATTTGATTCTTTCTTATATTAATTTATATGTGGAAATATTTTCTAATCACTAATAAAAAATTTAATTATTGATATTTATTTTATTTTCTCCAAAAGAATAAAAATAGAAATATGGATAATGAAAAGAATGAAAATTTAATTTGATATTAAAAAAGAAATTCATCGAAACAAAGAAAGACTTATATATAAAAATATAAAATCTCATATTTGACTGCCAAATTATAAATATTAATATCATACAATTTATGTACAAAATGTATATTTTTACAAATTGAATCATGCAATGAATATAATCATAAAATCGTTATTAATTTTTAAAATCAAAATGAAATAAAAATCCGAAGATGAAGATATTTCAATAGTAGATTTAGAAGTATCGCGTTATCGCGGCTAAAGCCATTTCAACAATTCCTATAAGTAATTCTAAAATATAAACTATATACCGATGCACATAACTACATAATACAGCACAGCAAAACACGCTTTTATGATAATAAAGCGCGACACTGTTCAAATCCTCGATAGCAAGTATATTATTCGGTTTAATAATATTTGATATTATTTGATAATATTTGAATTAAAATTAATCAATATAAAATTCTTATAAAATATGAAATAGTTATATATTTTAATTCAAAAATTATTTTAACTTTATGCATAAATAAAAAATAAAATAATTTATTTTTAATAATACTATTAACAAATCATACCAAAAAAATGTATCGCGAATGTACAATACGATCAAAATTTAATTTGTATCATAAATTATTTTCAAGTTCGACATATTTCATTACTTTCTATCGATTCATTTATAAATTTATATTTTTGAGATAAATTCGTTATACTAATGATTAAAATATAAAAAAACAGATTAATAAATTGATAGTACAAAACATTTTTCATAAAAATATCTACATGTATCCAAACTATTCGATAAACAGGATACCTTACTTTAAGTAACTTGAATGCCATCGAGCGATTGTTACATTTTACTTTGTTTAATTGATTATCGAGATACAATATGGAACGAACTAATGTCTTTATAATGCAAGTAGTAGACGAACAGTGAGTCTTTTTATAAAAATTGTTCGAATAATTATTGATAGTATAACTATTAGAATGGGTACAGTACGTAATGAGCCCCAGGACATACAATATCTCTCACGTAAGTAATGTATCATCCAATTCTTCTATTTTGCCTTCAGGTTGAGATAGAACTTTACGCAATACTTTGCTGACTACATCTGATAACGATTCTTTTGCACCAGCATCCAAGAAAGCCATACAACGCTGAAAAATATAATTTAATTAAAATAGTTAATTAAAATAGAATTATAATCTAATCAGTATTCAAATTCAGTTTATATTTGTGTAATATAAACTGTAATATAAATTGTATTGTGTAATATAAATTGATAAATACCTGATGTTCTTCTTCTCCTTGTCTTAATCTAAGTACTGCTATGAGAGCAAGTTCACTGTTAGCTTTTACATAACCATTTTTTTCTTTTGTTCCATTTACCAACATAGGTAAAAGTGATTTAAGTAATTCTGGTGACATTTTTTCTGGCGATATGTTACGAGCCAAATGAATGCAAACTTTGGCTAATAATTGTTTTACATCATTGCTATTGTTATTCATCGACTAAAATTATTTACATGATAAATTATTTATATAAGTTATTTTATATTTATTTTTATATATGTTTATAAAAAGTTATAAATATAAAATTATATAATCTTTAAATTTTTACCCGTACAAACGGAGATAAAATTTGTTGAGGTATAGATTGTCCTTCATTCATAAGATATTGAAACAAATAACCACAAGCTCGTACACCATTCATAACAATTTGGACTCGATCAGCACTTAAATACGAAAGTATTACACTGCAAACGCGATCTTTTTCTTTATTATTATAAACAGTTGTTGGAGATTCCTTTAATGCGACAAATAATGCTGCAGAACGTCCATGTCTAAGCATCCAATCAACAGTTGAATCATTACCTATAAATTGTTAAAATTGTTAATTGTTAAATAATTTAATGTTAAACATATTCTATAAAAAAAATACAAAATCACAAAAAAATTGTAAAAAAAATTTTAAATTTGAATTTTAAATATCTTAATTATATAATTAATATATTATAGATTTACTAATTATATTATTAATTATAGAGTTAATATATTCGTAGAACACCTTTGGAGGATTAATTCTAAACAGAAAACTTAATTATGCAAAAATATTGCTTATAGTTTATTAAGCAATTGAATTTGTGAAGCAAGATGGAAATGTTCTGTTTTTGTTATATCAGCTTTTTATATGTTATCACGAATTATTTATAATATGTAAATTTCAACTTTTATGTTTATTCTTAGAATTTCTTCTTTATTTTTCAGAATTTCTAACTGTTCAATGAATATATTAATATTTTATGTATCATACTTATATTGTTTTATATTATATAAAAAAATATTTCATAAACAATATTTATTTTTTCAAATAATTAAACTTACATAATAAATTTTCATTAAATGCAACGTTAAGTTGATCTGGACTAAGCCATCTTATCAATGCTCCAAAACAACCAGCTACTGCATTTCTTGTAATGTCTTCAGAATGACCAAGCATACTACTTAAAGTAGCAAAAACTTGTTTCTTCATTGGTTCTGTCATTTTATCACCAGCAGGTGTAAGAACACCTCTTAAAGCTTGTAACATTGTTTCCCTGAATAAAATATGTAGATATATATAAATTTTAATTAGAAATTTATAAATAACTTATGAAAAATATTTAATTTTTTGATTTATACCTAATAGCTGGATCATCACCAGTTTTTATGCCAGTATGAAGTTCTGTAAACAATGGATCTACACGAGTATGTATTACAATGAGATTACTTAAAGCATAAGCAGCTTTTAATCTCACTTGTCTATTACTATCATTCAATGCTCTTAAGAAAGTAGTTTGTAATTGTGGTAAAAATTGTTTTAACATAACTCCAACCTAATCGAAGTATTTAAGTAATTATTTGTAATATTTTTCTCTTAATATTTAATATTATATATATAATATATATAAAATATTACCTTGCCAAGTAAAATTGCAAGAGTTTCTAAAACTGCTGCTTTAACACTCCAATTAAAACGATCACCCAAAATTCGAATCAATGGTCCAGTAATATGTACAACACTTGGTTGTAATGCTGAAGCACTAGTTAATTTTATAACTTCTCCAAGGCCTTGAGCTGCTTGTTCTTTTGCTTCTGGCAGACCATTTAATATAGCTTCTCTGAATATCGGAAGAATAGGGGTAATTCCTTTTGGTAAACAGAATCCTGGTAATAATTCTTGTCCTTTTAAATCAGATACTGCAAATCGAACAGCTTGTCTAATATCTTGTACATGCGCAATTTGTTGATCAGATGCTAAAGTCTAAAAATGAAATTTAATATATTAATTTATAAAAATTATATTAAGATAAAGATATTATATTATATTAAGATTAAGATATTTATTTATATAATAAGTGAAACACAAAAATAACCTTGGTAACTGCTGTAAGAGCTTCCCAACTCATTTGTAATACATCTTTATCGTCATCTGTAAATAAGTGAATGAGACCTCGTAATAATTGT